AAGCTAGTGAGAGCACGGCTAGGACGGGCGAGCGGTGTTTTTATTGATATTTCATCATCTTGCCGACATGTGGTACCCACGCCGCGGGACCTCGGCACACCATCTATTAGCACAACACTCACCTGTGCCGGTAGATAACGTCATTATTAAAACTTCTCTGTGTGAAACCGTTACCACAATCTCACCGAGCTTTCTCCATTGAAAAATCTTTACTAATGTTAAAAACTCATTAAAATGTGGGGATATTCATTAGCCACTGTCTCCAATAGATAGACACATCAGGTACCAAAAGAAGGCATTTCAAAGTATTTACTGGCTGAGAGTGTAGATAACGGGATTATTAAAACTTCTCTCTGTGAAACCGTTACCACAATCATACAGGGGCCTAGAAAACCTACAAAAACACATTTTAATTTACTCATTAAAATGTGGGCATATTCATTACCCACTGCCTGCAAACTGGGAAACAGGTTACCGCAATCTCACCGAGGTTTCTCCATAAAAAAAAAACTACAAAACACATTTTACTGATGTCAAAAACTCATTAAAATGTGGGAATATTCATTAGCCACTGCCTCAAAAAAATTCAGTACTGTACGTAGAAACATCAGATACCAAAGGAAGGCATTTTGAAACTATTTACTGGTTTACTGACTATGAGTTGCCTAACTTTTCCGGCCTTCCTCAGGGGGTGACTGACCAATCATTTACGGCATGTGACGTAAAGGTCACGTGACTACAGAAGTGGGTCGCAGTTGCCAGGACAGCTGTAAGTTCTGACGTCATTCGGCCGTTGTTCTTAACCAAATTCATGACCCAAAACCGAGACATGATCTAGATATTGCGACGGACTTGACTATTTACATACAGTATACTATCCACACCTGAAACTAATGAATATAAATTCGGAGCGTAAGCTAGCTTGGCAGAAAGAAGGTTACAACCATGTCAAAATGTGTGGTGGTTGTCAACCTAGACACACAGACAGACAGACAAACCCACGTGCTCAGCCACCCAAAAACAAAACTTCCGTACCCGGAAGTCAAAAGAAAACCGAAAGATTTATGTCAGTTTGGTGTTCTACGGAGCGGTGATAAAACAACTAAGCCTCAGTCCCCGGCGTGTCTTATAGTGTGGGGAGAGAAGCGTCGTAACGAAACAGGAGCACAGGAAACCTGTCATGTCTTGTGATGGATGTCTGCCGCCTTCCCCCTCGCGTTTCAGGTAGAGCCTGTCACAGATGTGAATAAACAAGAAAGTATGTACTCTCCAAGCAGAGGTTGTGGGGGAATGATCGTTACCTTTTTATATATGGATGTTTTTCTTTGTCCTGACCCCACCCCCGTCGGTGGCCGCGGACCTTCTCTGGCTAATGGATACTGCCTGGCCAATTTGATACTGTCTTTTTGCCACCGAGAGGGATCTGCTTGGATATTAGAAAGTATGTACTAAAATCGTTCTATTTCCGTGCTGTATTCGTGCTATATCGTCGTTCGGTGTGATATAGCTAGCTGCCGCCGCGCCGCGTGTGCCTGCGAAGCTGGTGTGTTACACCGAAGGACTGTTATACCTAGCCTCTACCAGGCTTCGGGAGACGGCTGGAGAGTAGAAATCGCAGATAACATGGCGAGGGCGTTCTCTCTACCAGTCCAACTTCCTCGGCATGTTATCTCCCTAGTTCGTGTATGTATTTGACCGATTTCTACTCTTTCCAGCCGTCTCTCGAAGCCTGGTAGAGGCTACAGAAAGATAGCCTGGCATATATGCACATGTTTATGCCTCTGATTGCTTCGGCACAAAATAGTTTGGCTCTCAGGCGTTATTCTTGTGGCTGCATGAAAGCGATCGTTTGAGCAAACCACAGCATCGTCCTGTGGCTTACTACTAGTATTTAGTTTTAGACATAGCTATAGTTTTAGACAACTACCTTTCATTATGTAGATATTATTAGTTATCGTATAATCTGTTCCAATATTCTTGTATGTTTGTGATTTGCAATTAGCCCCCGGGTATGAATTTGCAATAAACTTCTCACTATTCACTTTTTACAATTTTCCAGCAGCCTCAGGAGCCTGGTGGAGGCTAGGTGGAAGGAAAACCTGTCACGCTTGGTGACGGATGTCCACGGATGTCTCTTCACGTTTCAGGTGGGGCGTGTGCCGGATCCCCTCCCCTGGAGTCATAAAACATGCCAGGGAAACGTGTGACGTGTGCGTCCCACAGCCCTCTTCTCATCATTTACATTTCTCGAATAAAGTACAACAGATTTCAAGAGTCTCGATGCTAGAGACAGATTTGAATATATCTTTACATGTAATGATTCCCACAATGCAAAAATAGGTAAATGTGTAAAAGACTGCTTTGTTATAAGAAAAAATACCGAAACTCATGATTAGCAGCTAATCCCCACTCGATTGTTACACTTTATCAAAGACTTGTGCTAGTCCTTTTTGTTTGAGTAATTAGGATATATTAGGTTTTATTTTACATTATGTACACATTGTAACATGTGCAATTGTCGTGCAATGTTCTTCTTCTGTTGTTTTTGTAGAAGGTTTGGGTGTCGGCTTATTTTTGGCGTGTTTTTAGGCTTTGTAGAGTATCCCCAGTCCCCTTCTCCGTGTAGAGAAAAGGCGGAAGTTTGTGAGTTTGAAATTTACGAGTCAGGTTTCCGCACTACGCTGCGTCTGATCCTGGGGTAATATTACTCTCCAAGCACAGGTTTAGGCTGAGGATTAGTTTTGACGTCTTTTTGGCTGTTTTATTGGGCTTTCTTTTTTGTATGCCGGTATCTTTTCGCTAGCCAAGCGGTTTTGCATATTGGATACTGCCCAGTCAATTTGATACTGTCTTCTTGCCAAGTTTATACTGTCAGTGTAGATATCAAAAGACATTCTTGGAGATTTCGGTAGTACAATGTATACGGTTTAAATAAGAAAGTGTCGTGACTCGTGACTGTAAGGTACGTATCCGAGATGTTATAGAAAATGAGAAATGTTTCAAATGATAATATGCTACAGAATTCCGCATCACTTTGCGTCAATAACCATTTCAATGAGGCATTCATTCATTCATTCATTCTTTCCTTCCTTCCTTCATTCATTCAATCGTTCGATTATTGATTCATTTTTACTTTCCTTCCTTCCTTCCTTCCTTCCTTCCTTCCTTCCTTCCTTCCTTCCT